TATTTTTCTTCGTTGCATCTGTAATATTTGACGAAATTATAAATAACGTTGATGTAAAATTATTGAATGTGCCTTGAAAAGTTTATTATTCGGCAGGTACTATGTAAACACTGACGGAAAAAATTTTACATTATTGCCGCAGGTTAATATTAAAATCATCTGACAAATTCTGGGTTATTTTAATATAAAATCTGCGGCATAACAAGAAATTATTAGGTTTTTCTCCAATTTCAATAACAACATTATAATTATATTCACTTTCAAGAAGCTGTGTAAAGTCTTGAGAAAGTTGGTTAAAAAATTTGTCTGTCATTTTTACGTATTATCGTTTGTGAATGACAGTTTACGTTAATTTACTCTATTTTTGTAATACATATATCGATATATATACCTCAGCCGATGTTTTGCAATGCTGTGCATTAATTTCATTTCTTGTATAGTAAGCACCCGTGAGATTTTCGTTACATAATTTCCGTAGGATTTAGAATTTGTATTACTACTACGTAACACAAATAAGTTACACGATTAACACAGTGCCAGCGAAGAAAATTATTTAAATTCTTTCAACCTTAATAAATATAACTTTTAAATCAAAGAAATTTTGAGTACTTTGACCTGAATATAATTTTCTGTAAACCAAAATAATTTAAATTACCTGAATAAACTTTCGCTCTATAAAGAGAATTAAATACTTTCAAATGATCATAACTTTTATACAGTACTTTATAATATACTTTATTCATTATTACTTAGTTTGAAAGTTGAACGAAGCATCTTCTATCCGGTTTGTCACTAGGGCTTGTTTGAGAAAGTTCTTTTAATAGTTTGACTTTATTTAACGTTAATAAAAATTAATAATAAATTACATAAAAACTTGATATTTCTATATATAAACTTTATACGTAAATTCTTTTGGCTCGAATTTTGTACGTACAAGTATTTAAAAATTTGTACACACTGTGTAAAATGATAACTAAATATGGATAAAATTTTTCAATAAAAGTTTTATCGTTATACGTTCATACATAACGGTAACACGCATTCTTTTCTTACGTAAATATTGAATAAAGAAGTTTTGAAAAAAATTTTACAATAACCTAATTTGTGGTGCAGCCAGAAAAAAAATGAACAGTTTATCAAATAATAATAAAAACTCACAGGATTTTCTTAGTGAAATTGTTAATGAATTGTGTAATTTGTATTATGAAGAAAGATATAAAGGCAAAAAACGTGAAATGATTATTGATACGTTTGATCAATTTCTAGCAAAAAAGAACCAAAATAAAGATAATATTATAAATTTGTGCTTAAATGATGAAATTAATCCTATGGCTCAATTCATTCTCGCAATTTGTTATCGTTTTGGTAAATGGGTTAAAAAGGATGAACAAAAAGCATTTGTTTATTATCAAATCTCTGCTGGTATGGGATATTTTTATGGAATATATGAACTTGGAAATTGTTATGAAAATGGAATTGGAGTTGAAAAGGATGGACATAAAGCATTCATTTATTATCAAAAATGTGCTGATATGGGTCATGCTAGTGGAATATTTGCACTTGGTGTCTGTTATAAAGACGGAATTGGAGTTGAAAAGGATGAACATAAGGCATTCATTTATTATCAAAAATCTGCAGAGATGGATTATGCTGGTGGAACATATATGGCTGGTTATTGTTATCATAGTGGAATTGGAGTTAAAAGGGATAAAAATAAGGCATTCATTTATTATCAAAAATCTGCCGATATGGGTGATTCTGATGGAACATATATGGTTGGACTTCATTATTTAGAAGGATGGGGAGTTGTTGAAAAAGATGAAAAAAAGGCGTTCGAATACTTTAAGAGAGCTGCCAATTTGGGTATTGTACAAGCAATAATCAAAGTTGGTGATTGTTATAGAAATGGAATCGGAGTATCAAGAGATATTCAACGAGCTAATCATTGGTACGAAAAGGAACGAAATATAAATAAATCGAAATCATCAGTGTACAATGTAAAAGGGCAGCGTAACCCTCCGGCCATCGACCTATTTTCTTTTTTATTATTCTATGTTTTGTTTATTTTTATATATATATATTTTTTTGGTATTAATATTGTTTGTATTGTTTACATCGTTCTTCTGTTGCATATAGCCTTTTTGGTATTATGTTAATGCGATAAATTCGATTTATCGAATTTATCGAATTTATCGAATTTATTGGATTTATCGAATTTATGGCATAAATTCGATAAATTAATTTTGTCCAAATTGTATCTACTAGTATCGCGAAAAGTATAAAAGCGATACCTTTTACCTCCAAATAAAAACAACTTGGAGAGTTAAAATAATAACTCTCAATAAGTTCAGTGATTGCAGGATTGATAACCAATACTTCGAAATTCGAGTAGAAGTTTGGTATTTGAAGTTCCCCATTGTTAAAATCATTCTCAATAAACTGAAATCCGTATTGTTACACCTCCCCATTGTTAAAACAAATCGCCCATAAATAGTTTTATTGATAAGCCCTTCGAATCTCATTGATAATTCGCCAACTAATCGAAAAAAGGACCAAATCACGTGCCACGTGATTAAAATTATCCATATAAGATAAACATCTCTAATCGAAGATTAGAACCGGAAACAACTAGAATCAAGGGTCAGAATAACCAAACACTTACCTACAAGAGACCAGGATAACCCAAGAAATCCCCTAACAATCTTAAACCCGGACCAAATCCTCCACGCCCTCTTTCAGCCTACCAACTTAGGGTTGATTATTGGATTATAATATTGTGTTTAGTTATTAAACCCGAACCCTGGTGTAACCAAACCTCCGGTCGAGTTCCGTACCAGAACCGGTTAACACCTTTTCAACGAACAAGATATTGATGATAATATAAAGACATTATTAAACGATGAGAAATATCAATTATCATGGATTCCTTATAATGAATTTCAATACATAGAAAAAATCGGTAAAGGTGGATTTGCGACTGTATTCAAAGCTTATTGGCATGACACAAATAGAAATTATTTGACATGGATTGCACTTAAATTAATTCATGGGTCAAATAAAAATATTAAAGAATTTTTGCAAGAATTGAAATTGTATTGTGAAATCGGGTATGAGAATCCTTCGTTTTTATATTGTTATGGAATATCAAGACATCCGAACGGAGAATACTTGATCGCCATGAAATACACGCAGAAACTTTCTCTACGTGATAATCTTCGTGATATATCAAAACTAGAATGGAAAAAAAAATTAAACTTATTACATAGTATTGTTAGTGATCTCAAATCAATTCATTTTCAAGATCTAATTCATTAAGATTTACATAGTGGAAATATTTTACAAGATCAGCTAAACAATGAGATTATAGGTGCCTTGCCTTACGCTGCTCCTGAAGTCTTAAAAGGTCAAGAGTTCATACAAGCTGCAGATATCTATTCATTAGGAATAATCATGACAGAAATAACGACAGGAATGAGGGCTTTTGATGGAATATCGTTTGATACTAAACTCTCTTTAAAAATTTTTAGAGGAGAGCGACCAGAATTTACACCAGGAACACCAGATTGTTACATCAAATTAGCCAAACGGTGCATGGATATTGATCCGAAAAAACGACCTACTGCGACTGTCATCAATCATAGGATCGGTTATTGGTTCGATGAGATGGACCAAGACAATGCTAATGACATCAAGAAACAATTTTCGGATGCCGACAAATTCAGACCAGAACTGATCGAACCAAAACATCCATCATTAATGTATACCAGCAAACCCATCATTTTCAACATAATAGATAAAGTTTAAACGGGCTGACCTATTAATTTCGGTGAAATTCTAGTTCCGTCCATATGGTGGAAATAGCAAATTTTCATGGTGGAAATAGGCGTTCCCTTTATTTATTATACTTTAAATTGTTCCGGTCCTATTATAAACAACAATTATCTCATTTGTATATTACTACGGTATGAAATGTTTCACTCGTAAATCCATCCCTACTACAGTATATCAAAGTAATAACTTAGTTCATATAGAATTTTTGAGTCATAAATTGTTGAACGATGTCGTAAAGTAATTACTGATGAAAATTATGAGTACTGTACATTAAGTGATTATTGGTTAGATGTAAGTTAATCCTTTTCTACAAGGTAGTTAAATTGGTGAATTTATAGGCATCTAATAAATACTTTTCATGAATACTTTGATAACAGATAGGGCTTAATTTTTCTTATAATATCTTACAAGTAATTTAAAAAAAAAAATTATATATGGAGACAATTCCTAAGTGTACTTTTAAGGATATACTGTAAAATCATCATTTATCCATTGTTCAAGTAGTTTAGTTATTCCCGCCCAAACCCGTGTAAAATTGCGTTTAGCAGTTAGATTAGGCATTTTTGCTTTAACTCATTGAATAACTTTATCGAAGAGTAATTAAATAAATTAAAATAAAAAATCATATTTGAATTTTTACAATGGTAATTTCTCGAAATAACGGGCATCTGCGCGTTATTTTGAATACCTACACATTATTTCGAGTATGGGCGTTATTTTGAATATATGGGTTTGAATAAAGTTAATACGTAATATAAATATATAGATCTTTGCCTTACCTTACGGGACATAGTAAATCATATGATCAAAACTTAATTTTCAAGGCAAAGACCCTGTATAGCAATTAGTAAGATGCGCGTTATTTCTGGATGCGCACATGGGCGTTATTTTGAATTTGATATCGAATATGTTATTTTTAGGGGACGTAATTTTCAAAATAACGTCCATGCCCGTTATTTCAAGAATTTATTGTATGAAGCATTAAGATTGTTGTTATAAATTGATAAACTCGACGATATTGAATGTGCTCAATCTATATATTCAATTTTTTTTTTAAAAAAAGTTAAAAACTTTCTTGATGATAACATTAAATGCTTTAACGGTAACATGTGGTAATCTAATTAAAATAATAATATTTTTCTTCGTTGCGTCTGTAATATTTGACGAAATTATAAAGAACGTTGATGTAAAATTATTGAATGTACCTTGAAAAGTTTATTATTAGGTTTTTCTCCAATTTCAATAACAACATTATAATCATATTCACTTTCAAGAAGTTGTGTAAAGTCTTAAGAAAGTTGGTTAAAAAATCTGTCTGTCATTTTTACGTACTATCGTTTGTGAATGACAGTTTACGTTAACTTACTCTATTTTTGTTATCGTTATACATATATCGATATATACCTCAGCCGATGTTATGCAATGCTGTTCAATTAATTTCTTTTCTTGTATAGTAAGCACCCGTTACCGTTACGTAGGATTTAGAATTTGTATTACTACTACGTAACACAAATAAGTTACATGATCTGGTCTTTAACACAGTGTGAAACGTGGAAGTAACTCAAGTACCCCAACAACACCAGAAAAAAATTCTCGGTTACACAAGATTTGTACTACATTTAGACCAATAGAATTTCACTATTTCAATTCGGCTGATATTCATATACTCTAGATTTTAACGTTTTTCAAGAATTTGAGCGAAGATATCTTGTCAACCACACAATCAGCTTCTGTAAAATTTTTTATCTTAATCTACAATTTCATAAAATTAAAACGAATAAAATATCATCAAATTCAGTTAGGTGGTTGTCAAGATATCTTATATTCCAAATATTAAAAAAATTTTTCACTGTAGTAATTTTAAATTTTTTTCAAGTATTGGAGTGAAGATATCTCAACAATAATCAAACTAAATTCAATGAATTTTATTTTATTTTGATTCTATGAATTTGTAGAAGCAAAATAAATAAAAAATCATTGAATTTAGTTATGTGACTATTGAAATATCTTTGTTCAAAGTTTTGAAAAAACTTTGACACGTTGTGATTTTTGATACATTTTAGAGAATTTAAAAACTTTGAGCAAAGATATTTCAACAGTCACTTAATCAAATTCAATGATTTTTTTATTTTAATTCTACGAATTCTTAGAATTAAAAAAAAACTTGAATTTGGTTATGTAACTATTGAAATATCTTCATTCAAAGTTTTGGAAAAATTTTAGTACAGTTGTAATTTTTGATAGATGGTTTAGAAAATTTCAAAACTTTAAGTGAAGATATCTCTTTTTTAATTCTACAAAATCTTAGAATTAAAATAAAAATTAATTTATTAAATTTGGTTCAGTAACTATCTAGAAAAGCTTTGATGCAGTTGCTGTTTTATAAGATGATTTAAATTGTTTTCAACCTTTGAGTGAAGACATCAAAATTTGATGAACTTGTATTGTCAGAGAAATATATAAATTATTAAAGTAAAAATGTAAATAAATTTCAAAGAATTTAGTATATTCATTTATTTTTTTCTGAAATTATATTAGTAATTATGTAATTTCTTAAAAATTTAATAAAAAGCTTTGAGTTCATTAAATAAATTGTTTTGAAAATTTTTTAAAAGTAATTTAATTTTTTGGTTTAAAAGAATTTAGCACATATTTTAATTTCAAATAAAATTATTTGTTCTCAATATTTAACCAAAGTTTATATAAAAAAATTATTAAGGACTGAGTAATTCTTGTTATTTAAAATATAAAATTAGTATACCTATTATAATACAAAAAAAATTAATATTATATTACCTTGATTTAAATTGGAATTAGCTTTATCTTTGTACTTTTTTGATACATATAATAAAAATTAGTATTCATATTCTTATGATAGTTTAACAAATTTAAATTATAAATAAATTACTTATATCTTTATTAGTTTAAAAACATAGTATGCTAATTATGATCTTTCCAAGTACGTGAGTTATTTATTTTTTTCTTATATGATTTAATATCTACTACTAAATTTTTTATACCTTTAAAACTTCTTTGAATAGCTTGTGCCCATTGAATATTATTAATATTTTCTTGTTCTTGTATAATTTCAAGTGCATTATAAAGTATAGATTTATATTCTTCGAACAGCTGTAGAGATTTATTATCTATATCATTAATGATAGTATTGACTATATAAAAAAACAATTTATATATAGTTTAATATATATTTAATAGTTTTACTTACAAATTTAATTTCTAATTACTGACCAAACTCTTTCCGACGATCCCTCGTATCAAAAATTTCCAACTTATTTTTTTTAAAATATACAATAAACTTTATAAAAACATAAGAGGAACAACGCAGAGAAGCATAAGACAGCACCTGTTATTTAGAGATAGTTCTCATATGCTATCTGCTAACAGGTTTAGAGTTTATCACTCA